AATAGTTTTCATCTTGTCTAGATGGGTCTGGTAAAAAGAGATAGGGATAAGATTCTTATGATTTAATAGTGAGTATGTGGAGAGCTCTGGTAGTGTAGTGGTTATGAATCGGGCTGCGAACCTTAAGGTCAGCGGTTCGAAACTACCAGCCGCTCTGTGGGAGAAAGATGAGGCTTTCTACTCCCGTAAAGATTTACACCCTCGGAAACCCTGTACAGGGTCGCTATGGGTCGGAACCGACTCGACGGCACTTAACAACAACAACAACAACAACAAATGTGGAGTCCTAAGGAGCTCTGGTAGCGTAGTGGTTACGAATAAGGCTGCTAACCTCAGGGTTAGCAGTTTGAAACTACCAGCTGTTCTGCTGGAGAAAGATGAGGCTTTCTGCTCTCGTAAAGACTTACAGCCTCAGGAACCCTGTACAGGGTCACTATGAGTCAGAACCGACTCCACGGCACATAACAACAACAACAACAATGTGGAGCCCTGGTGTGGCACTGTGGGTTAATGTGCCAGACTGCAAAGCCGTTTGAACTGCAAGGTTAGCGGTTCAAGCTCACCAGCTGCTCCTCAGAAGCCCTATACAGGGTTGCTATGGGTCGGAACCAACTCGATGGCACTTAACAACAACAACAACAACAATGTGGCACTGTGGGATAATGCGCCAGACTGCAAAGCCATTTGAACTGCAAGGTCAGCAGTTCAAGCTCACCAGCTGCTCCTAGGAAACCCTATACAGGGTCACTGTGGGTCAGAACTGACTTAACAGCACTTCACAACAACAAGAATTGTTATCATGACTAATTGCCACTGTCACAATTGTAAAGGTAGAAGTTTTATAACAAAAACGGAAAGTAGTTAATTTTACAGTCCAGAAACAAGAGGCCCGACCCTAGGACCATCAAGGGAGAAGAACCCAAGAGGAATGCGGGACTTTATCCAAACAAACAGTGACACCAGAGATGGAAGCAGAGATGGGGACATGGAGAAAGGGAGCAGCTAAGGACTCTAGATTCATGGGAAGAGAGAGACTGAGAGCTGGCGGCCAGGAGGCAGACTTGCAGAATGTGCCCTTTGGTGGTGTAAATTATTATATATGCCTGAATGTTTTTAAAAAAAAAAAAAAGAGCTAAAATGAGATAGAAATACTTTCAACTGATGGTACGTGGAGGGGATTATAATCATTGTAATGAAACAAGGTGTATGATTTGTTGAGTGTAAAACTGATGATCTGCTCTGTAAACTTTCACTCAATTCACAATAATAACATTAAAACAACAACAACAACAAAAAACACCTTTCAGTCTCACACTTCCTTGCCCAAAGTAAAAGCCAGTGTTCTTACAATGTCCTGTGTGACTTTATGTGAACTATTTCCCACCCCACTACCTCTCTTAAACTCATCTTCAATTCTCTTTTCCTTGTTCATGCTATTCTAACCACATTGGTCTTCCCAATATTTCTTGAACACACCAGGCACACACTTCTGCACGGGTCTTCCTTCTGCCAGGAATGCTTTCTCCTAAATACTCATGTAAATTATTCCCTCACCTCCTTCAAGTCCTTATACAAGAATTCCTACATATCTACTGTATTAAAAATTGCAACCTTCTCCTCTCTTCTCAATAATTCTAACCTCCCTTATTTTGTTCTGTTTATTTTTCTTATTTTCATAGTAATTAACAAATTTAATGATATTTACTATATCTACGGTTCACTTTTTCCCTTTCCCTACTGAATGTGGGGATCTTTCTCCTTGAAGAAAAGAGAAAAAGTTCCTCGATGATTGGGTTCTTTGTTGTGTCTGTTGATAAAATAAAAGCTCCATGAACAGTATGTGAGACCTCAAGAGACATTTGTTGAATGTACAAATTAATCCCCAAAGCAAATCAAAATCATGGAGCCAGATTAAAAAAAAAAAAGTGCTAACAATGGAGATGTAACTACTGATACAATAAATTTATAAGCCAAAAGGACATTCTGAACAACTTTAAGCACTAATTTTGAAAACAAATATGAAATGTATATGCTATATGAAAACATCAATTATGAAAAGTAACAGATTTAAGAAGAAATAGAAAATGTGAATGGCTTTTTAACCTCAAAATCAATTGATTCTGTAGTTTGAGATTTTCCCACAAACCCAGTGCCAAACCTAGATACTCCTCAGGTGTGTTCTACCTAGATAATTCTATTCATATATAAATTCTCCCGGAGAATGGAAATGAATATGATCACGAATGATAGTAGCAATATGCTAATGCAAAAAGCAGATAGAGGGTCAGATAAAGAGGAAGACCCTCTATCAAGATGGATTGACACAGTGGTTGCAATAGTGGGCTCAGACATAACAACAATGGTGAGGATGGTGCAAGATCGGGCAGTGTTTCATTCTGTTGTGCAAAGGGTCACTATGAGTTGGCGCCAACTCCACAGGACCTAACAACACCAATGCAAAAAGCAGTCAGGTCCAATAGAAGAAAGGAAAATCACAGTCTCACTTATGAACGGAGATTGTAAACAAGATGTTAGCAAAGACTATCCTGCAATAGAAAGATAATTTCAATCTGGGTTATCCCAGGAAGGAAACATTCAATAGCCCAAGCCATGGTATTTTCAATCGCCTCATGTGAAAGTTGGACAATGAATAAGGAAAACCATAGATGAATTGATGCATTTGAGTTATGGCATTGGAGAAAAATATTAAAAGTATCATGGACTACCAGAAAAACAAACAAATCAGTGTTGGAAGAAGTACAAACAGAATGCTCCGTAGAAGCCAGGATGGTGAGACTTTGTCTCTCATACTTCAGACATGGTATCAGGAGAGACGAGTCCCTAAAAGAAGGACATCATAGTTGGCAGGTCACCGAAGAACAGGAAGACCCCTAACAAGTTGGATTGTCTCACTGACTGCAGCAACTGGCTCAAACGTGACAACAATGGTGAGGGTGGTGCGGGACCAGGCAGGGTTTCATTCTGTTGTGCAGAGGGTCACTATAATCAGAAAGGACTTGCCAGCACCGAAACACAACAACAGCAACCTTGTTCAATAATACTAGACTCTCAATTTTCTGCACCTAACAAGCTCTGGTAGCGTAGTGGTTACGAATCGGGCTGCGAACCTTAAGGTAAGCGGTTCGAAACTACCAGCCGCTCCGTGGGAGAAAGATGAGGCTTTCTACTCCCGTAAGGATTTACACCCTAGGAAACCCTGTACAGGGTCGCTATGGGTCGGAACCGACTCTACGGCACTTAACAACAACAACAACAACAACAACATATTGGTTGGTGGTGGGACAGCTGGTAGTTTTGAACTGCTGACATTGATTGAGGTTAACAGCCCTACTTGTAACCACTGTGCTACCAGAGCTCTTAACTAACACACTGTTGTTGTTGTGAAGTGCCATCGAGTTGGTTCTAACCCATAACGACCCTGTATAGGGCTTCAATGAGTGACTGGTGAGCTTGAACTGCTGACCTTGCAGTTCGAACCTACTTTGAAGTCCAGCGCATTAACCCACAGCGCCATACCAGAACTCCTAAATAGTCCTCTAATGTGTGGTGCTGTAGAATAAGCACTTGTCTGCAAGATCAGTTTGCACTGCAAAGTCAGCAGTTCAAACTCACCAGCTGCTCCTTGGAAAACCTATATAGGGTCATTATAGGTCAGAACTGATTCAACGATACATAACAACAACAACAGTAACTCCAAAGAGTAGAGATATTGCAATGTATATACAATTATGCATGCACTCACATTTACACATGCACCCCCACATAAATTATCTAAGCATCAAAATGCTAATGAAGTAATGAAGAATCATTGGGCTAATATATAGAAAAGACTGAAATCCAGAGAATGTAAAACTTAATTTCCTACTAGAGGTGGGGCGGTGGGAACCATTAAAGAACACCACTGAAGAAGCTACTGAGAGGAAGTGGGAACCACTGATGAAGTCTTGTAAAGCTAAGGGTCAAGTCAGAGCACCCCTCAGTGTGGTAAATTCCTTATAACTTGAGTTTCTATTGTTACTGTTATAGGTGAAACAGAAAAAGACTAGGGTACATATGTATCTTAGCCCAGCTTCAGATCTTCTCAGGTACAAAACTTGGAATGAGATTATGTAATACTAGTTTAGTCATTTGCTAGACAGAAGCAAGCATCTTCTCTCCGAGAAGATGGCATCCCCCTAGAATATGCATTTTTTAAATGTAATTTTAATCCCTCCATTTCTCCATTTTTCACAAAAATGCAGTGAATGGCACACAATAAAAATGAATCAGACCAACAAGGAAAAAAGGCAACATAAATGAGAACTAAACAACAAAATAGAAACAGATCCATAAGCCAATGTTGCAAAACAGTGGAGGAATTGCATCTCACCAATATTCAGTTTATTGGTTAAATTATCGGGGAATGTGGTAATAAAATTTAAAAGCGGAAAAAAGGCATAAAACTATATTTAAGAGGGGGAAATACAGTTATGAAAGACAGTTTGTGTATTTTTCAATCATTTATTAGGTACATGAACCTTTTTGTACTCTTTTCCTATGATACTTTTTCCCTTAAAGTGTTTTAAAATAGGATAAAGAGCCCATCAGAATGGGTTGATTTAAGATTCCATTGTTGGACATAAGGGAATTAGACCAAATTATCTCTAATTATCTCTAGCAATAACCTAATTATCTCTAACAATAACTCATATTATAACATAATAACTTAAAGACTTTGAATAAGATGTAGCATACAGGATGCACTTCACTTTTCTTTTCTCTTTATGTATTTTATTGCTGAATCTGCCTCACCAATTAGCATACAAATGGAACTGCTTAGAAGTGAGTGTCATACATGCCCCAGGTCTGGAGGGAAAAAGGGTTTGCACTTTATAAGGCACATTTAAGTTTTAAAAATTAAATCGTTTTGTTTTTGAAGACAGACTTTTCCCCTTCATTTTAATGAAAATCTGACCATGTTTTTCTTTTTCCTTCAATAGAACGAGCACGTTAATTACGTAGATGTTGGCGGAGCTTATGTAGGACCAACCCAGAATCGAATCTTACGGCTCTCAAAGGAGCTGAGTTTGAAGACTTACAAAGTAAACATCAGTGAGCGACTTGTTCAGTATGTCAAGGTACGCCTGGCTTTTTACTCTAGTTACCAGTGGAAGGATTTTGTTTGATAAAACAATCATAAAAATAGGCTTTTGGCTTTAAAGGGTACATTTCTTTTCTTTTTCCAAAAATAAATAAATAAATAAAATAAAATTCCCTGGGAACACTTAGAGTCACTTCAGAGAGTTTCAGCTTGGCCCTGTTCTGTGACACTCTCTCTCACAAACACTGCTAAGTCCAACCAGAGCAGAGATGTGGGGTGATCAGCTGCTGCGGTCCCTCGCCTTCTTTGTAATGGGAGTATCTCATCCACACGCATACACAGGTACACACTCTGTGCCTTCCTTCCTCCCTCCCTCCCTTTCTCCTCCCTTTCTCTCTCTCTCTCTCACCTCCAGTCCTGGGTAATCCTTAAGACAACAGTAAAGGCTCAAGAAACACTAGTATTTGAGTCTACCTCTGTAGACTTTGAATAGGTTATTTATTCTCATTCTCACTAGGCATTCCTTTGAACATTGATAATTTCCTTTGCACTTGGCCTTGCTTCTTGGGAAGTCTAGGTCAATTATGTAGTTTCCTACTGTTTAAACAAGAGATTGTTTAAACACTAACTGCTGATGTCCACCTAAGAAACAGCAGCTGTTGCCAGTGTTACTCTTTCCGCTTGGAGCCAAACATAGAGCAGCTGGAGTCTGGAAATGGGCTTGAAGAAATCAAGTTTTTGGTCTGACATTGCAATCCACTTCCTGCAACTGGTGTCTCTAGGGTAGGGCCCATTTAGTCATTCTAATATCAGGATTCCCACATGTTGCTTCTTAACAGCCACTTCCATCCTTCACCCCACCCCAATCAATCATTAGGGGTCAGGAGTCTTTAAGGCCTTTCAGAGATACTTGTTGTGCACACGGGTATCCAGTCAGAGGAGATGAGGAATTCTGGAAAACTCTTAATAGCCAGGTGGTTTGGGATGCTTGGAAAGGGGAATAAACGTGGGGGGCAGAAAACACACCAGGAACTGTTGGAGAAACTGGCTTTGGAAGTCAAGAGAGAAATGAAGACAGTGTACGTAAGTATGGTAAGATGTATGTAAGAATGGTGATCTCAATAGGCCATAATACAAAAGACAAGTGGTCTGGCTTCCCCACTTTCTTTTTCCACATGACGTGGTGTTACTTCTATGGACTGGTTGTTGTTATTGTTGTGTGCCGTGAAGTCGGTTCCGACTCATAGCGACCTTGTACAGGGTTTCCGAGGCTGGAAATCTTTACGGGAGCAGAAAGCCTCATCTTTCTCCCGCGAACAGCTGGTAGTTTCGAACTGCTGACCTTGCGGCTCACAGCCCGATTCGTAACCACTATGCTGCCAGAGCTCCTGTGGACTGATAAGTAAGAGCAATAATAGTAATTTTGTTGTTAAGTGCTGTCAAGTCGATTCCGACTCAAAGCACCGTATATAGTTTCCAAGGAGTGACTGGTGGGTATGAAGTGCTGACCTTGTGGTTAGCAGTCCAGTGCTTATGCTACAGTGCCACACTAGGACTCCTGCAATAATAATAGCAGCTAAAAATTAGTGAGCACTTTTACTGTGTTAGCACATGTAATGTAGAGAAAGATAATAAATCATTTACTAACTAAACTAATAACACATGCTAATTCTGCAAGGCTGTGTCCCTGATAGACTACCAGGATTGGGGGCTCAGTAGTTACATATGATTTGAGGAAATGCTACATGCTGGTAGCATAGTGGTTATGAATCGGGCTGCAACCGCAAGGTCAGTAGTTCGACACTACCAGCTGTTCCGTGGGAGAAAGATGAGGCTTTCTGCTCCCGTAAAGATTTCCAGCCTCGGAAACCTTGTACAGGGTTGCTGTGAGTCGAACCAACTCCACGGCACATCACAACAACAAGTAAGGAAAGGCAGGTGGTGCAACGGCTGCATACCTCCCACTAAGGTTAGCATCACACCATCCTTGATAGTTCTATTCTTAAGAAGAAACATAGCTTTTCGCTCACCTAAAAGGAGATCTACTCAGCTTCTACCTATTTTTCTTTCACAAAAATACAAATATGACTGAACTGGACAAAGGTATTCCATGACATTGAGTTTGGTAGTAGCCTGAGGCTCCTTTCTTAATCTCGGGATCATTGACATTGCTTGATTTTAAATAGAACAATAATAATAATAATAATTGATAATGATTATTTCAATAATTGATCATAATTATTGAACACAGTACATGGCCCACTTGGTCTCATGCCTTCCCTGCACTTTGAGCAATCAATGGTACATGCATACATGATGCCATAATTGTTGATCCCTTAGGGACAGCACCACTCCCATAGTAATGATAATGATAGCTAACTTCTACTGAACTCCTTCACCTCCATTAGCTCGTTTAACTCTCACAAGGGATCCTACCTGAGAGAACCCTGGTACCATTTCACAGTAAAGGTCAGAGGCCAAGTAACCTAGCCAGGATAGTAAGGGCCACTGAGCTGGACTTCAGGTCAAGGCCTTTCCACTTGCCTGTGTTGTTTCTTGCTCCAGGGACTTTGGTGCAGATATGGACTCTAGGAGACACTTGGAGCTAGTGCTTGTCCTGATGGTGGTGGTGGTTATGTGCCACGGAGTCTCCTAGTGACCCTGTATGGGGTTTCTGAGGCTGTATGTCTTTACGGGAGCAGAAAGCCTCATCTTTCTCCCGCAGAACAGCTGGTAATTTCAAACTACTGACCTTGAGGTTTGCAGCCTGATTTGTAACCACTGCGCTACCAGAGCTTCTTGCTTGTCCTGAAAGGTCATCCTATCTCCCTGTGTGCAGTACTGGAGACCATTTTGCTTTGTCCTTTTGCTTGCAAGCCTGAAAGAACAGTGTAATTACTTCCTATAATACAATCACTGTGTCTTGGTTATTATGTTATGAATGTAGTAACTGTACAACTGCCATTTAAGTACCTGATGATGAATGTTTAAGCTTTATTTTAAATTTTAGTACTTACTTGCAAATAACCACTTAAGATGCTAAACATTATCCTTTTCATTATATTTCTTTAAAAGATGTTCCCTTCTAAGGAAAAGATAGAGGATAGATATACTTATTATTAAACCGTCCTCCTATACACTTTACCCTTTTAAAGAACACATATTTTCATCCAAGATAGACAACAATGTTAAGGCATAAATGTAGTGGGTCCATTGTATGAATGAGTGCCTCATTTGTGCTAGTGTATCTTATAAAACATGTCATTTCTGTAATGAGAAATAGTGGAATGGATAGTTGATGATTTGGAAACTGAATAAGCATTAGTGACTCAATGGCAGAATTCTTCCTTCACATGGGGAGACCTGGGTTCAATTCCCAGCTATGCATTCATGCACATCCACCAGCCGTCTGTCAGTGGAGGCTTGTGTGTTGCTGTGATGTTGAAGAGGTTGCAGTGGGGTTTCCAGACTAAGACATACTAGGAAGAAAGGCCTTAGAGGTTTACTTCCAAAAAGTAGCCAATAAAAACCCTATGGATCACAGCAGTCTGATCTGCAACGATCATGGAGATGACATGGAACTGGACAGCCTTTATTCACTTGTACCTGGGGTCCCCTGAATCAAGGTCAGGAATAATAGCAACTAACAACTAGAACAAACTGTAAAGGAAGGAATCCAGGTTAGAGAAAAAGCAGGAAGAAAAAGAAAAGTTCAATAACTATTCTAAACAAGACTATTAATTAGCAAACTCTTAGTAATTTTTTTTAAACTTCACTTATACCAAAGCATCTCAACAGTTACCATTCTATCCATTTCTAGGAAAATAAATCACTTTCTCCCAACATGATAGTGTATTGTGTTAGTAATGCAAAAGGTCTTTCTGACACTTCGCATTGCCTTGTGTCAACCCTGGTTTCCTTAACCCAATCCAGCGCATTTTTTTTTTTTTTCTTTCTGTAAATAGCAGTGAAATAAAGAGGACAAATCACTAGCAGGCTTTTGTTGTTTTGTTAAAACCGGCTGTGTTCTTTATGATACATGCTGCTCCAGCTAAGTTTCCCAAATTGTTTCTTCTGTCAGCTGTCTGCAGTGCTTCTAATTTCAACCTTCTATAGGATTGCTTTTAGTATTCACCTAAAATCTGTTCTTTACCTTTGCTCGATTGCATTTAGATGCATGTTTTGATGTTACAATATGGAGTTACAAGCCTGAGCCTCTTAACTGGGGGGACACTTTTAGCGGTATTTCCCACACATCGCTTCCCCAAGAGAATATTGTCTATTTACTTCATTCATGGAGAGTTACACCCTAATGCTAAACTCACTAATTTGTTCAGCGAATATTTACTGAGTATCTACTGTATACCAGATATTGTTTCAGACTGGACATAAAATAATACATACATGGTAAAGCTTATATTCTCATGGAACTTACAAAACTAAATGCAAGAGACATGAAAGTTCACAATGTTATTGTTATTAGGTGCCTTCAAGTCAGTTCCACCTCATTACAACCCTGTGCATACAGAATGAAACACTGCCCAGTCCTGCACAATCCTCATAATTGTTGTTATACCTGAGCCCATTGTTGCTGCCACTGTGCCATTCCATCTCACCGAGAGTCTTCCTCTTTTGTGCTGATTTTCCGTTCTACCGAGCATGATGTCCTTCTCCAGGGACTGGTGGTGGTGGTGGTGGCTGTGTGCCTTAGAGTCGGTTCCGAGTCATAGCGACCGTGTACAGGGTTTCTGAGGCTGTAAATCTTTACAGGAGCAGAATGCCTAATAATATGTCTGAAGTATGAGAGATGAAGTCACACTATCCTAGCTTCTAAGGAACATTTTGACTGAACTTCTTCCAAAACAGATTTGTTTGTTTTTCTGGTAGTCCATGGTACATTCAGTATTCATTGCCAACACCACAATTCAATTGCATGGATTCTTCTACTGTCTTCTTTATTCATTGATTAACTTTCCCATATATATGAAGCTATTGAAAATACCATGGCTTAGGTGAGGTGCACCTTAATCCTTAAAG